ATTTGGCCACTATGTCATGCATAGGGGAAAGCTATCCATATAATTTTACAGGCTGTTTAAGCTGCTTGTGGAATGAAGCTCTTCTTTGTTTTGGTTTTCTTCTTTCATTATTATTTGGCAAGTATGAACACTTGTCATTCATTTAATAGTTATTCTGGGGCGTTGTTTTGTGATAGGAGAGGATTGGTCTTATAAGTTGGAACAGGAGGGATATGTTTACTTATTATATATCCATTGTTGGTGAAGGAAATGTATTCGTAATCTAGAACTTGATGGTTGGGATGATTTCTCCGTCAGATGTTAGATGGACTTTAGGATCCCTTAAGTTGGCATCTTCTTTTTCTTTCATGGTAAAAAACCTGCCCTTTTTGCAAGGGAAGAATTGCATTTGATGCATCATAGGAGTCTTCGGCACTCATTCTTAGCTTGATGCTTAAAGGTTCTCAATAGCTGTTACATTCCTACTTTTTAGTTTGACTGAAGATTAGATTCAAAAGCATGATATGACAGCCCATTTTCTCCCAAAAATGAAATTGATTAGATACATACAAAGATAGTTATCTGTGTTCTTTTGTGGACTCATCACATCTTCTTTATGTGCAAGAAAACATGAGTTGTAGACTTGAAATATGTTGCACTTGGCACACTCGCCAACAAATACCTCCTTTGATCAATGAAAGTATCTAGTGAGTTACTTTGGAATACTTGACTTTCAGATACAATAATACAAAACTTAAAAAGTATAAATAAGAATTACAACCTTATTGTTGGTTAATTACATTATTATTATATGATTAACTTAATACAGGTAATTAGTTCAAGAAACAAAGAGAATATGAATAAGCATATGGTCTCTCATATTACTGGTTGCAAAACATTTAAGACTCTTCATCATGACAAAGTAAAATACTGTATATTAATATATTGTGTTAATTATTTTTATATATCTCATATAATTATTATTATTTTTTTGTGTAAAGACATCTTATCATTGGAAAAAAAAAAAAAAAAAAAAACCTAATATGCATCAGATGTGGCAGGTAACTTCTATAAATAGTGATGGCTTAGAGTTAATTGGTTTGGAGTTAATGGTGGAATATGAATTGAGTTTGTATAATTTTTTTTAGGGTGTCTAGTAATAGCTTAAAGGATTTCTTAATTTTTGGGAATTGTCTCATTGTTTTTAAATAGTTAGTAAAAACATTTATTTATTGGATTGTGGAGCAAATTATTATGAATATTTATTTTATTGAATATTGATTTATTTATTGGATTTTTGCAATTACTAAAATTTATTTTTATAAATTTGTAATGATTGAAATTAATAAATTAGGTTATGTAACAATAAATATTGTTACACAATAATAAAAAATGAATTGTTGCAAATTACTTTCATAAATTTATAATTGTTGAATTTAAATATTTAGTTACATAACAATAAATATTGTTGCAAATAATTTTCATATTTTATAATATTTGTAATAAAATGATTAGGCTAAGCAACAATAAATATTGTTGCAAAAAAACAGCTAACAAAAAAATTAATTGATGCAAAATACTTTATATATTTATAATATTTGAAATTCAATTATTTTATTTTGCAACAATACATTTTTTTGTTGCAAATAATAAGTAACAAAATCAATTGTTGCAAAATGGCTTCCGATCTGCAACAAGATATTTTTTGTTTCAACTAATAAGTAACAAAATCAATTGTTGCAAAATGACTTACATTTTGCAAGAAGACATTTTTTGTTACAAATAATAAGTAACAAAATTAATTGTTGCAAAATGACTTCCATTTTGCAATAATATTAGTTACACCAGCTTTGTTACAATTACTTTTTGTAACAACACAATTAGCAACAACATTGCAAAAAATTTATTTTGGTTGCAAATTTAATTTGCGACAAAAGTTATTCCTTTTGCATCAAGTTTCAATGATGATAAATCATTGTTTTTTATAGCAAAACAAATAGCTATATTAATACAAAAATAGTGTTATAGCACATATTGTGCACGAGATAACAAGTAGTATATATAGATTTAGTATGACAAAAGATATATAATCACATCACTTACACATGATAACAGTTTAAATGGACAAATGGTAGAAATATTTTACCAATTTTAAAATACAGATTGATATATATATATATATTTATATATGTATGTATGTATCTAAATGGCATTCATTACTAAATAGATTGATGCACAAAAATGTAAACGAGATTTCATTGCCTTTTCCAAGCAGGCATTTGTTTTCCCAGCATTTCCTCTACTTTCTTTCATTCTTGAATTTGGCCTTTTAGCTTTTCCCTCATTTTCTTTGTCCTCAACCTCTACTCTTGTGATGAGAGACTGTGTCACTACTTTCTTGGTATTTTTTTATTTTCCCATCATCTTTGAAAGCACTTCTTCCTTCATGCCCATCTAAGTCTACTACTATTGGTAAAAGAATGTGATCATGCCACACAACGTATAATAAATGGTGCCAATTAATATAAGATAGAGAATTAGTAATATGAATTTGATCTTGTCCTTTTTCAAGTAGTTATTGGATTTTTCCTTAAGTCCTTTCTTACCTTTCTTCTTTGAAATTGGCACTTCAAGTGTTTCTTCCTTCTTTCCTCCTTCTTCCACATCCTCTTCCTCTTCCTCATACTCCATCTCCTTCACCTCTTTTTTTATTCCTATAGGTGGCAACACTTTCTTCTCACATCCCATGCAATTACAAGTAATTTAAAATCAAAGATTGAATATCCATCAAATTTAAAAATTTACAAGTCTCCTTATTGAGCAAACTTAGCCCAATTGCCTGTAAAATAAGTTAGCTGCACAAGCCAAATTCTGCCTCAAGAATTCTTGAGAAAATCTTGTTTTGGTAGTGATCCTTTGTATTGCACTGTGTATGTATAAGGAAGAAGCTACCAATATATATATATATATATATATATATAAGTCAAAACAAAGTGTGCATTTTAAACCATGTCATTAGATAAAAGTTATGTATATATAAGACATATAATTATGTGTACAAGTCTTTATGAGCTCTGATCTAGTACGAAAACCTTGAAAAATTTAGGTAGGTCTTTCATCTTTCATGCAACTCTCTGTGTGAAAAGTATTGAATAAACATAGGTCAATCTAAAGAAAGATGAGAACAAATGGAGCATAAAAGTCAAGAAGGTGAGTGAGAAATGGAAAAATGAACAACACCTTGGAATTGACAGTGATTTGTTGCAGTAATTACAACATGACATGAGAACATGAAGCATTCATAAATAACTTGGTGTTCATCATAAATCTTGCACTTTGTGGATGAAACATACATTTTATTTCTTTCTAAAACATTACGTATATAAGAAGACATATAAATATGCAAATTAGAAAACTTATTAAGATAAATCGGGCCGAGTCTTACAAAATGATGTTAAGATGTGGCAATAACTTGTTGCAAGAAAAAGAAGAAAGAAAAAAAAACGATATGCATTTATTTTCCCATGTTTCACTCTTACATTGGAAATCTCTACTACATAATAGGATTTTAATAAAATTTTCTCCACATATGCATATTATATTTTACAAAAATACTAATATTATCCATAAAATGATTAAAACCCCAAATTATTGAATTTTTATGTTATCTTTTAAGGATTAATTGAAATAATATAAACTTGTCAAGATAAATTCAAAGAAATTAGAAATTGTAAAGACAAATATGAGTAATGCAATAAGACTGATAGACTTAAGTGTAAGAAGATATTATTATAGACTAAAACCCTAATTTTTCACTTCTGAAACAATTTCACCTTCCTCTAATTAGTGTTTATTTTAGACACATAGGCTGATTATACTTCTTCACCTTTTTTGGTTTGTGCAAAGCCGAAACCCTAACTTTATGCTGTACAAATTTTAAATCACTTACAAGTGCACAAATTAATTAATAGATAATGACAAATATTGCTCTCAAGTATGTTCCTTTCTTAGGACATTAGCCATGATTATTTTAAAAAGGAATTTCTTAATTTAAAAGAATTAAATTACTTTGTAGAAAAATAAATTTTCAAAAATTCTTGTGGCATAATAATAATAATTTGTTTGAAAGTTGCTCATAAATTATCATATAGGCAAATTTATCAAACTAGGTTTATAATTATAAGTCTTACCTTAATAAAAATTTTAAAACTTATGTGCGGTTGTTAGGTTAAAGTTATCGATTATCTTGAAAATATAAAATAATCATAAAAACCATACTATACTGAATCAAAATCTGATAAAATCAAAGGTAATAATACCAATATTAAAAAGTAGGATTTTCGTTTTAATGTATAAAAAAATAGTACAATATAAATTTTATGAAGATAGTGTAAAAAAAATCCAACCATGTCAACTCCAGTCTAAAGTAGTGGTCTTTTGTGTAAAATAGGGTTTTGCAGAATGGAGAGTTGCTGGTAATTTCAACTATTTGTTGTCAGCAACAGAGATTATTGCCTTGGTGAAAGGTGTATCCCCTTCTTCCTCTGTGGGATAACTTTCCTAGTTAATGATAAGTTTGGCCTATTGCTCCCGTGTTCGCTGAGAAGTTCTGTTTATTATTACTTGTGTGAGTTGGGTTGTTACATAGCCAATGATCGCACTTCAATCTCATTGGAGTTGGACTTTTCGATGTCATCGAAACACGTGGCCTTGAATAATCTGGGCGTGGTTGGTTCTCGAATGCATCAAGATCGATCATGAAACAAAAATTAACAGAGGGATGATAAGGGCTATAACCTTGTAATTCTATCTAAAATTAGAAATAAAAATGAAAATAAAAGTGGATATATCTAACAATTAATTTACTATTCAAGATAATTACGAATTTATGAGATAAACCCATTACAAAGCTTGCTTAAAGAAGCCAAAAATGACAGAGTTCTAAAACCAAATGAAGAAATTCACAAATTGTCCAATCCAATCTCCATATAACAAGAACAATCACCGAATCATTCAACTTCTCACTCAGATTCCTCGAGGGATGCCTCGATTGGCAGAAGCATGAAGCTTACTGCAACTCCGATTAGAACAAGCCCATTCATAATAGTGGCAATCCTGAATATCTTGCCTATGGCGTTGTAGGTGGAAGACAGAGCTCCGCCGTCTTCCTGTAGCGGCAATCTCAGGGAACTCATGACCTTCGCGAAAGACCGTTCAATCAAAATGGGTAGTCCCAGGGCTGCCACACTATTGTGGGCCTTGAGCCTGTTAAAGTAGTTGAGCTCGCTGATGAACCTCACGTCGATTCTGCTCTATCATGAAGGACGGCTAGCAGCGGACGCAATGGTCACTAGAGATAGGGCAACCAACGCCATTGCCATCAGAATTTGACCCAAAACAAGGGAGGATTTACGGTAAGAACAAAAGAGGGATAGATGAGAGTGAACAATGAGAGTATAGAGATAGGGAATAAAATGCACGGGATTTGTGTGGGGGGAGGTGTCACGGGCTATTATCCTTTCCTAAAAAGGTTAACCTATTAGGGTATGTAACGTCTATGATTATAAGTCCAGGACTCTCCCTTTTCGTATCTGATGTGGTGTTATCCTTGTAACATTCTCCCCCACCCAATCCTGTAATACTTCATCACAGATGAAACCCCTTGCCTACCCTACCTCAGGCGCTTGGCGAGACATCGAAATTAGATCCACGTTAGCTCTAATACTACTTGTCACGGACCATTACCCTCTTCCCAAAGAGTTGATCTAGTAGGGTGTGTAGCGTATATACTTATAAGATCATCACTCTCCTTTTTCCTATTTGATATGGGATTGTCCACGTGATAAAGGGATGGGAGGATATGGATAAGGTGATAAGCAGATTGGATGACAAAGAAAACGGAACTTTTAATGCTGGCCAAGAGAAACAGGTCTGGCTTGTGGCTTCCATGAGTCCAAAATAAGTGCTTTACATTTTCTATTTTCCCCTTTTCTGGTATTTCCCAAATACATTTTGCCACAACAAAGTACAAAGGAAAAGCCTTAAGCGCATTATCAAAGAGCCCGAGCAGAAATTTATGTGAACTTTCTTTTTTCATTGGGTTAGAAAAATGAGTAGAGAATGCATAAATTATGCAAAGAGAATTTTTATATTTTAATAACCACTAAAAGAAAAAAAACACATGCAAGTATTTGTAATCTTATTTTATAAAAATATATTTTAACAATTATGTACCCTCATTAAAGTTCCGATATAACCATTATGCGACATTCACATATCAAGTTAATTTGAGATTGGCTTTTTATATTTTTGGGTTATTGGGCTTTTTCTTATCCCAACTTTCAAGTTTTTCAATCCTCAGTATTTATTTCCATTATTTTTCCCTCCATGGATTGCTTTTACCTCAAGTTCAGTTTACTATGCTAAATATAAAAGTTTGTGGGCTCATGATTTGATTCCTCACTACCAGAAAAAGTTGATTTTCTAACTGCATATTAGTGACCATCTCTTGGGGTTACTAATCAGTGACCGCTTAGTGATCCATCAGTGACCGAATTGCCTCATTTTTCTAAAAATGTAGTAACCAAATTTGTGACCCTTTTGTGACCAATTTTGTGACCTACAATAAATCGGTCACAAATTGGTCAGTAATTTAGTAATCGCTGTATATCAGTTACTAATAGAGTCACTAATTAGTTACGCCATTCTAAATGGTTACAAAATGGGTCACTAATTAGTGACCCAATTTTTGGGTTACAAAAGGGGTCACTAATTTGGCCATGCTCCCTTACATTTGGTCACTACTTAGTGACCTCCATGTAAGTGGTCACAATAGGGGTCACTAATTAGTGACCCTATTTTGAGCGATTATAAAGTAGATCACTAATTAATAACCAAAATTTGTACTAGTTCCAAAATGGGTCACTAATTAGTGACTTTAAACTTTTTATCTTCCTAAAATTTTATATTTTAATTAAATATGGGTAGAAATTATCTAAAAATAATTGATAGGATTTCAAGTCATGATTGTATTTTTGAAGTGTGTAAATAATTTGTGAATTTAAACTCTTGAAATCAAATAATTTCATTCATATAAATTGATTTTTTGAATTAATCTAAATCTCTTATAAAAGTGAATTTCTATTTATATGAATTAGTTATAATAAAATTTCATAAAAAATTAAGATGATTGCATATACCCCATATATATATATATATGTAAGTAACAAATAATCCATAAAAGAGTAAATAAAAATGTAAAACAAAAGAAGAGAATTTGTATTATAATGAAGCACTGTTTTCTTAAGGATCAGTAACACTTAATCCTTAATGTTTGACAGAATTATTGTAACCACTATACTATAATGAAGATTGCATATATCATTTAGTATATATATCATGGTAAAATATAAGAAATAAGAAATTTCTATTAGAAATACCTAATAGAATATCAAATAAATATAATAGTATATATGTAATATTAGATTAAGTATAAAATTAATTAGTATACCCATTTTGCAATTATTTCGTACTTCTATATATATATATATATCCTCATTTTTATAAATTAAATTGATACAAATTAAAAATTTATATAATTAAAATTTGAAAATCAAGATCTAATTTCATTATATTTTATACAATTTTATAATTAAATACTAATTTTAAGAAAATATAAATTTTGTTAAATTATACTATACAAGCACATTTTTATCTAGTTACAAGCATATTCTCATTTATTTACAAGTAGATCTCTATTCAATTACAAGCATATATCTCTATTTGTGAACCAGGTTTAAGCCAAAGTTTCAAAAATATTGATTGGTTTAGTTATAAGCACAGCTTAGTTCAGTTACAAGCAGCGCTCTGTTTAATTACAAGCACAGCTCTATTTAGTTACAAGCATATAGTCTAAGCCCAAGTCTCACAGGAATCAATTAGTTCAGTTACAAGCACAGTTCCATCAAGTTACAAGCACAGCCACGTTTAGTTATAAGCAGATCTCCGTTTATTTATAAGCATATATCTTTGTTTTGTGAACTAAGTCTAAGCCTAAGTTTCAAAGGCATTGATTGATCCAGTTACAAGCACAGTCCGTTCAGTTACAAGCAGAACTTCGTTTAGTTACAAGCACATCTCTACTCAGTTACAAGCATATAGTTTAAGCTCAAGTCTTATAGGTATCAATTGGTTCAGTTATAAGTACAGTTCTGTTTAGTTACAAGTAAAGTCTTGTTTAATTACAAGCATATGTATGTATGCATATATGTGTTTGTGTTTATGTACGCATACAAGTGTGTATATATATATATATATCTAAATATGTATTTATATAAATATATGTACATGTGGGTTTGCATATTAATATTTTTTATGAGGGAGAAATATTTCAAAATTTTGGTTTTTGATTAAATAATCAAACCAAACCATAATTTTGGATTATTTTTTTAAACCAAACTCAACCAAATTTAAAAAAATCAAACCAAAATTTAAAATCTAATTTCATTCTATTTTGTGTAACATTATAATTAAATACTAAATTTATATTTGGTTTTAAGTTTCTATATTTTTCTTTAATTTTGTGGGTATTTTAAATTGAAATATATTATAAATTATTTAAAAATAAAAAATTTGATAAAAGCTATTAAAAAGAGAAAATTTTAATCTTAAAAATATAAAAATGTTGAAAGCTGACCTGAAATCCATAGAATCTGATATAAAATTAAAACTTGCTTTCCTAAAATTTTCCCTCAACTCTCTCCATTTTTCATTTTCCCTTCTCCTCTCTTTATTGAAATTGGAACACCCCCAAAAATTTCATTTCCCTCCTTTCTCTCTCTCATTCTCTCTTTTATTTTTAGTTTTCCCCTCCTCCGCCCTCTCTCTTCCCAAAATTGAGTTGTCTAATTTAGATGTCTGTATTGAATTTGGAACCCCCCCCCCCAAAAAAAATTTTCATTTCCATCCTCTCTCTCTCTCATTCTCTCTTTGTTTTTAGTTCTTCCTCCTCCAGCCCTCTCTCTTCCCAAAACTGAGTTATTTAATCCAAATGTCTAAACCCTATGTGTAACACTCCATTCCAAAACTGGGTTTTCATTTTCCCTGATTCATGATTTTCTCTACAAAAAAAAAAAAACTATTTAGTGAGAAGTTTGAGTTGAATACAGAGAGATGAGCATAACAGATGGCCCAAGTTTGCTATAACTCATAGCTAAGCTGTCAAGGGAGAAGATTAGTTTGTTTGGTTACCTCTATGAACTGTTATCTCCCCTATTTTGAAGTTTCAAAGGTAAGTTAGTCTTTTCTTAAATATAGTTACTCTTCTCCCTTGTTTTATGCTTAACCTTTGTAAATAGCCACAAGAAGATTAGTAAACAACTTTGTTTTATTCAATATCTTTGTTTTAGTCTTTCCTTCAAATGCACGAGTGAATGTTCCTAAGTTTTACAGGTTTATAAAATTTTGTTAGAAAAATTGTTTAACAAAGATGGAGTGATGTCCCATGTGGGGATTGTGAGTATTCATTTCTTTGATTCTCTGTTATGGGCATTGAATATGTTTTAGAGAGTTGAAACCGATTAGTTATTTGAATGGCTTGAAAAATAAATGAGAGAATAAGACAAATTTATTTATACAAAGTTGAAACCTCTTTATTCTTCATTTTCTTCTCATTTCATTTCATGTTTGAAATTTTATAATGGTAATTAATTTATTTTCTTGTCTTATTTTTGCAGAAGAAACCGGATTAGATCATTGATAGAAAAGTAGACTTGAAGGAGAATCCAGCTAAGAAGGGAATGCATGGAGGAAAGCTTACTGGGTTGTTCTCTATTTAATTACCAAGAGCATATTTTTTTAATATTAAGAATGTATTTGTGTTATTTAACAATTTCACATATAAAATTACATGCATTATGATTTTTAATTATTTTTTATGTTTGTTTGTGGTGATTGAGGATTGAAATGATGAATGTATATTATAGGAATTACATTCTTTATGGTGAATGAGTAATTTGTGAATTATAAAAATTGTAATTAGTGACCTCACAAAAATTGTGAAATTAGTAACTTCTTTTATGACCCATATATAAAAAAATAATAACTAATTTAATGTGGTTATTAATTGGTAATGTGTATTCATTTTTTACTAATATATATATATATTATATAAAGTGGTCACAAATTAGTGACCCCAGAAAAGGGTCACAAATTGTGACTCAAATTAGTGACACCAGAACTGCGGTCACAAATTAGTGACCGTGGTTAGCGGTCACTAATTCGATCACTAATTAGTGACCGCAGGAATTAGTGACAAGCCT